GTATCTTGAAAACATTTTTTAGAGAAAGGTCAGTAAAAGAAAACTTGTTTATCCTAGGTGATTTAAATGATCTAACCTAATCAAATGCAAAGTTAAGTGGGATAATTAATGAAAATGAATTTTAAGTAAACTCATAAACAAGCCTACAAGGATTACGGAAAGTACTTCATCCATATTAGATTTCATAATAACAAACAGAATCGATATTATTCTTCACACAGACGCTATCCCTTGCCAAATTGTTGATCACGAACTTTTTACCCTGATCTTAAATGTAGAAAAGCCAAAGCGACAACCAATCACCCAAACTTCTCATGATCTATCTCATCACAGTCCTAAATTACTCTGCGACATATAGCCAACGAATCGTCGCTCTGAGATATTTAGCAACAGATAATGTTGACAGACAGACAACAGATATGATAAAGAATGGCCTATTAAAACTAAAACAGTAAAACGTCCTCCCGCTCCTTGGATAAATTAAGAGAAAATTAAATGATAGAAATAATACTCAGAAAGCTCTCAAGACACCATCCTTCAGGCTGAATATAACACAAGATGAGGTATGTGAAAACACTCATCCAGTGTGCGAAAACAAATTATTTTAAAAGTAGGTTCAATATAAGTAGAAACGATTAAGACACTAGTGCCAAATAAGAACTAAGACACAGATATTTCCCTAAATTCCATAAACAATATAGAACACTTTAATATCTTCTTTGCAGAAGTCGGTAGATTTACGATCAGACAACAGCTAAAAAGTAATATATAGTTAAAACAATGTATCTTTATAGGCAACCGTCACAGCATAGCAAAAATACCCATAGATACAGTTATAGAATTCCATGGTTGGTACATCAAACATAACACAACAGTAAAAAATCAATACGTAGACAGATACATGACATTTGAAACACACTGACCACATCTTCAGAAAAGTAATGGGCACTCTGATATACTTAAATCACATCGAAAATAAAATACCCACAGAAACAAGAATTGCTCTTATACAAACACTAGCATTTAGTATGATTAATTACTGCCTAAACATCTGGGCCCCACAAATAAGACACACACATAGGACACAGAAACTACAGAACTATGTAGGAAATATGAATAAATATGACCACATCACTACACTAAAATGGCTAAAAGTACAAAAGGAATACTACTATGACACATGTATTCTAATCTATAAAATCATACAGGGAAATTACACAAAGTGGCTATTACCTTTATAGAAAAGAGGTAACACAACGGGTGTTTACACATGGTAAAATAACTGCAAATATATCAGAAGATCAAATACAGAAACTGGGACAAGAAATATGCATATCCGAGAACAACTGATCTGGAACCAATTACCAGAAAATACTAACCAAATGACATTTAATACGTAAGTGGAAGAAAATCTACTTAGGATAATAGTATTCTGCGTAATTTTGTTTCACAAGCATTGCATGATATCTACGTCCATAACATCTCATTACATAGCATAAACAATATATATATATATATATATATATATATATACATACATACATACATATATATATATTATATATAATATATATATATATATATATAATATATATATATATATATATACACACATACATACACACATATATATATATATATATATATATATATATATATATATATATATATATATATATATATATATATATATATATATATATATATATATAAATAGAATACCCATTGTAATTAATGGAATAAAGTGTTTTCCCTCTATCCCTCTACTTTATCCTCTCCTATTCTCTCCTCTCTCCCCTCCCTCTACTTTCTCCTCTCTTCCCTTCCTCTACTCTCTCCTTTCTCTCCACCCTCTATTCACTCCTCTCTCCCCTCCCTCTATTTTCTTTTCACTCCCCTCCCTCTATTCTCTCCTCTATCCCCTCCTTCTAGTCTCTCCTCTTTCCCCTCTCTCTAATCTCTCATCTCCCTCTATTCTCTCCTCTCTCCCCTCCCTCTACTTTCTCCTCTCTTCCCTTCCTCTACTCTCTCCTTTCTCTCCACCCTCTATTCACTCCTCTCTACCCTCCCTCTATTTTCTTTTCACTCCCCTCCCTCTATTCTCTCCTCTCTCCCCTTTCTCTAATCTCTCATCTCTCCCCTCCCTCTATTCTCTCACCTCTCCCCTCCCTCCCCTTTCTCTCTCCTCTCCCTCCCCTTTCTCTAATCTCTCATCTCTCCCCTTTCTCTAATCTCTCATCTCTCCCCTTTCTCTAATCTCTCATCTCTCCACTCCCTCTATTCTCTCCTCTCCCTCCATGTAAGAGGTATTGACCTACATTGATACTGGTGGGGGAGAGTATGGCTTCACTATTCCTAAGAATTAACACATGAGTTGAAAAGAACATGATAGAGACATAAGCCGCCGGTCAATCTACCTACCTCTCCGAGAGCGATCCCGCCTCGTGGAACTCACTCAGGCCCGAAAGGTTTCGTCGAGCGATCGGGAATTTCGTACTATTAAAATCATGCCTGGCGAACGTTCGCCAGGGTTGGCGAAAAATCGTATTGGAATAGCCTGACGAAGCAAAGTCGCGAGAGCTGTTTGAATACTATTTTCTTGCTTTCAAATTGTAAATTAGTAACATATTTGTGTATGATATGATGTAGGAATCACAGTGAAATTCTAGAATATCTTAAAATCGTAATTTATTATGAAATAACGTATAGACGTAGTTTTTTCAAGACTTTCGATGTTCCAGTCGAGAGCTCAAGACATCAGCTGTATTCCTTACCCCCAACCCCTACCCCCCACCCCCTAGATGCCTTAATTAGATTTAGGTTGTTATATTGGTTGTAGGGATAATGTTCTTTTCACAAATATTACCAGAAGTGTTTTGATGGTGGCATGTTTACTTTTGGCTATAGAAACATAGCTGTAGTGCTCCATCGCCCTATAATGAGGCGTGTCTAATGATACCCTGATAGGCCTACAGTTCAATATCTTATATCAATTAGGAATAGTAAAATAGTAATTTTTAAACTCTTTTGTTAAAGTATAAAGTTATTTTTGTATAAAAGTATAAAGTTATTTTTGTATAAAAGTATAAAGTTGATATAGTATAGTATAAAGTACTTTGACAACCTTTCGCCAATGCTGGCGTTCGCCTGGCGAACATCTGAGTGAGGGTGGCCTTACTATAAAACCCAAGGCAGGTGTTCGCCAGGCCTGGCGAACGAAAGGGATCGTCAGGCGCTAACATCTTGGATTCCTGCTAAATCTAGTGCTTCGGCGAATGAAAAAAACGTGGGAAACACATATTTGTTACATCTGCAGTGTGTTATATCAACATATAAGTAAATATATATTGTTGGCATATAGCAGGGATTTTTTTTTTATATTAACTTACCTTACTTATATCATCTCATATATTACCTTACCTAACATAATCTAAGCTTAATTATTAACCTCGGGAGAAGACGATAATGTTATATCCGTAATAGCCTCACTTTATACAAAGGAGTTCAAAATTAATAATTTTACTACACCTAACCGATATAAAATAGTTAACTGTTGGGATACAAGGGTTAGGTTAGGTTAGACACGCCTCATTATAGGGCACTATAATGAGCACTACAGCTATATTTCTATAGCCCGTAGTAAACATGCCATCATCAAAATGGTTTTGGTAACATTTGTGAAAGGAAATTTATCCTTACAACCAAAATAACAAACTAAATCTAAATAAGTCTTCTCGGGGGTGGGGGTGGGGTAGGGGGAAGAAATACAGGTGATGTCTTGAGCTCTCGACTGGAACATCGGTCTTGAAAAAACAACGTATATACGTTATTTCATAATAAATTATGATTTTAAGCCCTGGCGAAAGTTCGCCTGGCGAACTTTTAGTGATATGAAATTCCCGATCGCCCGGCGAAACCTTTCGCCAGAACTAGCAAAAGGTTTTAAAAGTACGGGCGATAAAGCTAACCTTGTTATAGTATAAAGTGTGATATAGCATACACTATAAAGTTAATTTTGTTATAGTATAAAGTTTCCAACTTCTTTGTTAGAGCATAGTTTAATTTTAACTCCTTTTTTATAGTATAAAGTGAGACTATTGCGGAAACATTTTCGTCTTCTCTCGAGGCTAATGATTAAGTTTAGGTTATGTTATGTGCACTGCAGATGTAAATAAATTTGCGCTAGATTTAGCAGGAATGCAAGATGTTAGCGCCTGGCGATCGCTTCGCCCGCCCTGGCGAACGTTGGGTTTAAAAGTAAGGCCTCCCTCACTCAGAGGTTCGCCTGGCGTAGCTTCGCCAGGCGAATGCCAGCACTGGCGAAAGGTTTTAAAAGTACGGGCCTCAGTCTCGTCTCGTGTTTATTATCCGTGTATTAACTCCTAACAAAAAAGAGTGAAGCTGTGTGAGTATATTACTCTGCCCCACCAGTATCTATATAGAAGATACACCACCTTTTATATTCTATTCTCTCCTCTCTCCCCTCGCTCTCCTCGTTCCTCTCTTCCCTCTCTCCCCACCCTCTATTCTCTCCTCTTTCCCCTCCCTCTATTCTCTCCTTTTTCCCCTCCCTTTATTCTCCTTTCTCCGAGAGCGACCGAAAGTTTCCCCTCATAGAAATTTCAAGAACTTACTTTGGTCCGCTGAACTGAACCACTCACGTGCGAGAACTGGCACATGGCTCACGAACTTCTAGAACTTGTGAAACTTTGACAGAATGTTGGTTCTTTTTTTATTTTTAAAAATATATTCTTGAATGTATATAATGCCGTTATACCCTGAAATATACAGTAAAATATATGAATTCTATTTTTTATCTTCTTATAACAAAAAGAACTAAATCTTTAGCGTGGATTTTTTTTTTCTACACGAAGAAAATGTCTTTTTTAGGTTACAGTATTTTATAAACATAATTACCAATGCAATTTGTATATTTTGGTGCACCATTTCCTCTCTGATATATATATGTATGTGATTTTTAAAACTCTGATTGAGTTTTTAAATGCTTTGAATAGCGCGCTGAGAGAAGAAAAATATTCCTCGCGCAGTTGCCACATGCCGCCATTTTTCCACGTTTTGGAAGACGATGTCACCACGTGTTATCATCAAAAATCAATATGTAATCAAAGTTTTAGGTTTGTTTTTACACCTGATGTAACTAATATGATGGCAAACACATATGGCAATACAGACATAGTGAAGAAATGTAAATTTCACATGAAACTAGCAAGAATAAAATACACACAAATTCTCGTAAAATTATAGGCCTATATTATACTAGAAAGCATGGAATCGATAGATAAGTGAACTCTAATAGAATTCTTCTCTGACATAATTATTACAAATGGTATAGAAAAACTACCTGCAGATATATAAACTGGCAATACCAATGCTAAACGAATAGAGCAATTTTTGTGTCTGTCGGCATTTTGACAATAAGTGCATGGGCAAGAATAAGTTTAAATATTTCCTTTGACGACAGATAGCGATTACTAAAAAATGTGGTCCGGTTCTTTGTTTAAAAATTATGAAAAATAAGTAAATAAATAAACTGTTTGGACTATTATTAATAGTAAATATACTACTACTAATATTTATGAATAATATATCAATAAAAGTGTTTGTATTGGTTCCTATTTATACAGTAAATATATATCCCACATGATGGATATGATCAAATAAATATATTCTACATGTGCTTAAATAGTGTTTTAGCTGTGAAGATTATTTAAAAAAATCTCACTGTATGTAGTTTTGTTTACATACGTGATTGGCCGAAGGAACATAAAAGATTATGTATTACGCTCGCTGACTGGTTGAATTGCTTTACTAGAACTCTCTGTTGGCCATCGTTAGAATAAATCGATTTACGATTGTAACTCAGCATATCCAAATTACCATGTATTCGTCAATACCACTTAGCCATCACTGGTAATTGCAATGGTAAATGACCGCTGGTAAATGCGTTACGATCGTATGTTAGTGAATCCGGCCCCAGGAAGACTGCCAATGAGTGTCTGTTATTTTGAATTTTGCATATTGATTTCATAGAACCTCAAAATTATGTTCTCAAAAATAGCCGGTGGATACTTTCCCTTTCAAACGCGGGTATGATTTAACGAATGGAGTCTGCCAATAAAAATGGTCTTTTTGTGTTTTGTATAAGATTTAACATGGGGAGCGCACGAAAATTCTCGGTACGTAGAACGACTCCCACTCAAATTTGAAAACCTGTGAAAATAGTAATAAGAAAAAGACTGCTCAGTGCTTGCCTGTTCCACTTATTTCCGACTTGTTCTACTCACGAAAAAAAAAAAAAAAAAAAAAATCAGGAGCTATGAATAGAGATCAAATCGAAAAAAAAATAATGTACAAGCTCTCTCTCTAAACAAAATAAAAGTAGTTAGAGGCAACATAAGCCGGTGGTCATTTTTTCTCGTCAGGATGGGAAAAATGCAGTAGTGCAGTTTGCGAGAAAAAGTAACTTATGAATATTTTAGTCTCGAAATTTTTGAATATCTGCATATTTTGTACATGAAGTAGAGTATTACACCAAAGCTTCTAAGATATTTACGGAATTGTAGAATTTTGGAAGTTTATAAATAAAAGAATCGATATGGCATGAACGGTGGGACGTACAAATACTTGTCAATCTCTTTCTCGATGAAATGCGATAGTTCTTATCTTAGAAGGTCAAAGGTTACCTGTTCTATAGCCTTTTCACTGTTATTCTTAGATATGAAACACAATCCACCATGCTAGGAAAAAGAGGAAACTCCCCGCGGGATCGCGAAATAAGAGGAGAAAGACCGTGGCAAAGAGGAGGGAATGGGCAGCAGGGTTGGAATTAGTGTCAGAGGTACCCCTTTTGGGCAGCAAATTAGTGTCAGAGTACCCCTTTTCCGAGCACAAAGATCGATCCTTAGTAACGGAAGATCATTTGTTCCGGGCCCCCCACCCACACGACCCCTTGCAAAGAATTTGACTTCCTCTTTAGAGGAACTAGAAAAAGAAATAAACTCAAGGTTTTCAGTATCCCTGACCCCAGGTGTGGACCCCCTTTTTAAGAAAACAAAAAAGAGGTTCCCCCCCTAACTCCCCGGTATAAAGACGGAAAAATGTCCCCCTAAAATAATGCCAGGGTTAAAAGAGAAAATTAAAGAAGCCCAGATATTAGGCTCATTTAAAAAGAAAATAAAGCCGAATTTAACAAAAGAAGAAATTAAAGCCCTAGAGGAACTGAAAACAAATCCAGACATTGTGATTAAAAAGGCGGATAAAGATAAGGCCCTAGAGAGTTACAAAGTTACAAAGGGGCAGGCACACCTGAATTATGAAAACATAAACTTTTGCTTAACCCACAGGAGGAGCTAGAGAGAGTACAGGTTAAAAGTAAGATCTTGGTGAGCAGATTCTACTGCCTGGACTCAATGACAGGTAAAAGGTCAAGCTTCACAGCAGCACAGAGAGATGCACTGCTTGCACACAAGGCAAGTATTC